ATATATGGTACTAGGAATCGACCAGGGTCTCGTGCACTCCAAGAAAATGCTCTACCACAGAGCTACATCCCAGATCCTCCACTCTTTAAGACAAGAATTGAACTGAAATTAAAAAATAGCCTTTCACAACACACTATTTGTTAGCATATATTAATTGTACAGGGGTAGAAGTTACCACATGTTCCTGCCTGTAATCCCAGCTACTTAGGATGATACAGTCTGAGGCCATCTGGTGCAGAAGTGTGAGACCCTATTCGAGAGAAAACTTACTAAAGCCAAAGGACTAGGTCATGACTCAAGTGGCAGAGTGCTGCCTAGCAAGCATGAGGCCTTGAGTTCAATCATTAGAACATAAGGTACAGACATATACAGACCAACTGTACAGTTTAGCTTCATCTTACAAAATAGGTCACTTAAAAAAGAACACCATGCATCAAGGGGACTGGAGGCATGTTCCAGTGATAGAGCACTTGCTAAGCAAGCACAAGGCTCTGAGCTCAAACCAAAAACTTATAACATTAATAATAACACAGATCCGAGTGAAAGCAAGAAGTTCATTTAACCTGGGTTGAGTTCTTATGGAAGGGTAAATCCCTATCACAACAAGCAGACATGGAAAGATCCAGGACACAATGCCATCTGCTGTCTTACAGACATTCAGTGTAGTGTGAAAACTGAAACCAGGATGCTCTGGTACCCATCCTTTTCTGGCTAGCTCAGTGACTCATGAAATGATCACAACAGCGCTGGACTTGCAGAAATGATGCAAAGGTCTCAGATGTAAAACATCTGCTCACGCCTGAACTGGCTGAGCAGAGGCTCGCAGGTGCCTTGCACAGGCCCCAAAGTCCAATGCCAGAAAGCTCCAAGGCAGGGAGCCACCTAGAATATACCTGTGGACAGCTGGTTTCCATAGCAGCAGTTGGAGCAGGAGATGGCCATGAGGGGTTGAAACCAGGAGGTAGGGGCAAGGATAACCAACATGCAGGAAATAAAAAGAAAACCAGGAGCAAGAATGTTCTTAAGACAAGAAAGGCTCTCCAGCCAGGCACTGGTGACTCATGCCTATAATCCTAGCTACTCAGGAGGCTGAGATCTGAGGATCGTGGTTCAAAGCCAACCCAGGCAGGAAAATTTGTGAGACTCTTATCTCCAATAAACCACCAGAAAACTGGAAGTAGGGCTGTGGCTCAGGTGGTAGAGTGCTCATCTTGAGCTGAAGAGCTGAGGGACAGCGCCCAGACCCAGAGTTCAAGTCCCACTACTGACAAAAAAAATAAAAGAAAAGAAAGAAAGGCTCTCTGGTGAAATTTTAAATGAGATATTTTTAAATCAGGAAAACTAATTAGTTGATAAATGACAGATGACAATGATGAGTAAATGATGGGAGTCTGACTCATAGACGTTGGGGATTCTAATAGACAATGCTTCTGCATAAGGCATCAGGGGTCAGTGAGTCACTTTCATGAAGAATGGGTTTGCAAAAAGATGGCGTTGGAGATGCATGCGTGAACAGGCCCGATGGCAGAGAAAGCTCCTCAACACTGAGCCTGCAGGTACCTGGAAATGCATGTTCAAGCCAATCGGTGAGCTGACCGGCAGGCAGGAAGCTCCTAGTATCTGTAAGAAGAGAGCTGATCACGACACCCCGGGCCCCACAGCCAGACTTGCATGCAGGCTAACCTAAGCCATGCGGAATGTCAAAGGACCCTTCCAGAACATGGGGGGCTGGACAGTGCCGCAAGGGAGTGCTGCCAAGGGACTTCTAAGCTGTCACCCCACTTTGAGAAAGGCTGACAGGAAGCACTTCTCATCTGCCTTTCTGGTGTGGACATTTCTACCTTGGGCCTCCTTCATTAGAGTACGACTGCAGAATATGGAATTACTTGGCTGTAGCATGTAATTGCTCCCCAGCCATGGAGTGCCCAGCCACTTATGTTGCCTGTCATCTGTCTTCTGCTGTTTCTCTATCATTGTTTGAGAGAGGGACCTGAACTATGCTGAGCTTGCTTGTGCTATCTAAGCAATACCTGTCTAAGTGCACATGGGTCAACTGTCTCCTCACTCAATCAACAGCAGAGAAGTAAGGAAAGGCAACCAACCACTGCTGCTTACAGACCATCTGATTGACACACTGCTGTGTGTGGACCTTCCAAATGACACATGACTGCCTACAGACCGTCTCATTAATGCTCAACTGAGAAGAGAAAGTTTGTAGACAGTGATAGAGCTCATTTTCAAGAACTAAAAAAGTAAAAATAAATCAAAGTGAGCAGGAGGGAAACATAGCACTAAATAAGAATATTTAAGCCAGGAGCCAGTGACTCACACATGTAATCCTAACTCCTTGGGAGGGTGAGGATAGGAGCATTGAGGATCAAAGCCAGCCTAGGCAGAAAAGTTTTCAAGATCCCTTCCCAATTCATAGCTGGGAAGAAGAGTGTATGTCTGATATCTCAAATTATGTTAGGGGCTGAGATTGGAAAGATCATAGTTACAGGCTAGCCAAGCAGACAAGCCTGTGAGACTACATTTCCATGAAAGACCAGGCCTGAGATCCCAGTGATGGCAAAGCCTAAAAGTAGGTGAATCATGACTCAGGTGTGTGTCCAGGCAGGAAACCAGATCCTATCTTAGAAAAATAACTAGTGAAAAGTAGGGCTGGAGGCTAGGCTCATCAGAATGGAGCCAGTGTAGCAATAATTAGGCCCTGAATTCAAACTCTAGTACCAACAAATTAAAAAGAAAGATCAAATTATAAATTGGTATAACAAATAGAACCAAAAGCTGATTGATCAGTAGTGAAATATTTGGATGAGCAATACAGGAAGACAAATTACCAAAATTAAGACAAAAATAGAAAAACAAAAACAAGTCCTGTGATGATACACACTTATAGGGAACAATTTGGAGTAAGCTATATTGGTCAATGAGACAGACTAAAGGAAGTAGAGTAATTCCTTTTTAGAGTTTGTACCCAGGCTTGGACTCAAGACCTCACAGTCTCACTCAGCTTGGGCTCTACAACTTGAACCATGCCTCCAGCTTTTTGTTAATTGGAGATGTTGTCTCACAGACTTTTCTGCCCAGGCTGGCTTCAAAACAAGCTCCTCCAGGATTTTCCAGGTCTTAGCCTCCTGAGGAGGTAGGATTACAAGTATGAGCCACTGGTATTTGGTTACAGACCAAGTCTTATTGGACTTAAGATGCCAAAGTTCACTTAGGAAGACTAAGTAGCATGAAGAGCTTTGTAATCATTAATGAAGTGAGTTAAAAAAATAACCCCCCCCCCCAGCTGGGCTGGGGGCGCTGGTGGCTCACACCTGTAATCCTAGCTACTCAGGAGGCTGAGATCTGAGGATCGTGGTTCAAAGCCAGCCCGGGGAAATAAAGTCCGTGAGACTCTTATCTCCAATAAACCACTAGAAAACGGGAAGTGGCTCTGTGGCTCAAGCGGTAGAGCACTTGCCTTGAGCTGAAGAGCACAGGGACAGCACCCAAGCCCAAAGTTCAAGCCCCACGACTGACCAAATAAATAAATACCCCCCCTCCAAAAAAAACTTTGATGGATTCTACCAAAGATTTAAGGACAAAATAATTCCCTTTCTAACCTACTGAACTGGAAAATAAGTGAGGGGAACACCCAAACTTTTTTTTTTGGTCAAAGCCCGGGCTGGCTTTGAACCATGATCCTCAGATCTCAGCCTCCTGAGTAGCTAGGATTACAAGCGTGAGCCACCAGCGCCCGGCTCCAAACTTTTTTTACTTAAAAGATGATGTTAAAACCACAACGGAACACTACAGGGGAAAAAATGTAAATGCCATTCACAAATATAGCACAGAACTCTTTTTTTAGTGCTCATGAATTTGGTTTGTGTGTGTGCTTGTGTGCCAGTACTGGGGCTTGAACACAGGGTCTGGGTTCTGTCCCTTAGCTTTTCCTGTAAGCTGGTGCTCTATCACTTAAACCACAGCTCCACTTTCGGCTTTTTGCTGGTTAACTGGAGATGAGTCTCATGGACTTGACTGCCGGAGTGGGCTTTAAACTTCGATCCTCAGATCTCAGCCTGCTTGGTAACTAGGATTACAGACAAGCATGAGCCATCAGCGCCTGGCTAACTTGTTTTGCTATCACAAGCAGACTTAGTTTAGTTTATTACACGTTATTATATACGGTCGGGGGGGGGGGGGATTTCATCACGCCATCTCAGGTAGTCAACGCATCCCATTCGATCTCGGCCCCTCTCTCTCAAGCATGATTTTCTTAAAACGTTCTGTGCGGGGATTCGCACTCCACCCATCCAGACCCAAGCGGAGAAAAAGCCAAGTGAGGTCGTGCCCAGGTCTGGCGCCTTCAACCACGGGGTGGCCCTGGCAGAGCGGGCGGGGAGCTGGTCTCGGACGCTGGGCGGGGTGGGGGAGGAGGCCCGGCCTCACAGGTTTGAAGCTCACGGGGAGACCGGCCCGGGGACGCCCGCCCGGGAAGCAGGAAAGGCACACAACGACTGGATCGGCACATGCTGTCCTCAGAGCTCCAACGCCTACAGGACTTCTGCTACCAGCAGCTCGCTAACAGGGCATCCTTCGAACCGTTTCCGTTAGAGCCCAAGGCCCAAACATGGCTGGCCAAACCACCCAAGTCCCGAACCCTTACAGCCTATCTTGGTGCAGTTACTTTGTGGACAGAGCTGGGCCGAGGACTGATTGGCCTTCGCACTGGTCAATCTCTGGAGCTGCCTGTTATTGGCACAAACTGGACAAGGGTGAGGCGAGGGCCGGAGTCAGGACTGCAGAAAGTGGGACGTCTACTTCCGGAGGCGCCGCTTGGCACGCCGGGAAACCGGAAACAGGCCCAAATGCCTGTGGTTCAGACCGCGGCGCAGGGGTTGCCGGGATGTCGGAACCCGGGCCTAATGGCTGCGGTTCCGGCGGCCGCGTACCTCGGCGCAGGAGCCTGGCGGGAGCGTCCAGCGGCCCGGACGTGGGCTGAGGCAAGGGCGCGGCCTCGGGAGGCGGGGCGGGGCTGGCAGGGATATCCAAAGAGGGGCCCTGGGGCTAGTGGAGGAGGCGGCACCGGGACGGCTGGTACAGGGGAAAGACGGACGGACGCGCTTCCGGCGGAAGGAGAGAGCCTCTTCACTGTGCTCCCGGAGGAAGCCGCGTCCCACTTCCGGCGGAATCGCGAGGCCGCCGGGAACCCGGAAGGCTGCCGGAAGCTATGGGACTCGGCTGGGTGGCAACCCGGGTCTGCGAGCGAGGTAAGTTCGAGACCCTCCTTCCCGCGGATGGCCGGCCGCGAGGTCGCCGTGGCAGCCGCGCTGGCGCTTCTCTCCGCCGCCATCGCACTCTACGGGCCGCCGCTGCGCTCAGGTACCGGGCTGCGGGCGGGCTCGGGACCTCGGGGAGCCGGGGCCTCGCGGGCCGCCGCCCGTGGGGAGCGGGAGGCCGGAAAGGCCGGGGAGGCCGATCCTGCGGCTCCCGGAGTCCCGAGCTTCGCATCTGTGAAGCCGTCTCCGCGTTACGCTGTCGTGTCGTTCAGGAGTTACTCTCACACACTGGCTTGTAGTTTGCATTCATTTGAAGCGCTATGGCACAGAAAAACAGGGTCAAGTCTTCCCCAGCCTCATTCCTTAAAAACCCAAACAGCTGTGACTTGTGTTCCTAGACTCGGAATTGTCTTGGAGACCGGGTAACTTTCAGCATTTGCATTTCCGGTATCCCCTCGTCAGAGCCTTTGATTCTTTGTACTCTGGCGTTCATATTCAGCTGGGTGATGTTGGCTAAATCCAAGTGGCAGTGACAAGAAGCCAGCTCCGAAGCTCAGTCTGCCACGAAGTGTTGGGAAATGTGCGTGACCTTCTTTGGACGTTTGCTAACAAAAGCATTTTGCCCGGCTGAGTGATCGGTGGCCTCAGGGGCACTCCTGTTACCTAGACGACATTCCCCAGGAAGAGGTGAAGCGAACTTCACAGATTCAGAACAAAATGCCCTACGGGAATACACTCGGTGTTACATTAGGGGAGGGCATCAGGTAGGCGGGCCACAGCAAATCTAGAAGACCTCTTCTGTGGGTTTCGTGTGGCTTCTTGTAGCAGTATTAGCCTTAGGGTTAGTGGACACTTGAGGGCTGCTAAGCTTAGTGTTCAGGATAAGAGAAGCTTGCCTAATAGTCATGGGAGCATTGGGTTAACCAGTTAAAGTACATGCTAAAGCATCTTTTGGCTTCCACTGTGTAACATTCGGTATTTCTACAACCGTGATGTTCTGGTCCTCCACACAGTCATGTAGAAGAGGCTCCTTTAGAGAATTTCAGCTCACAAGTTACACATGATTGGGGCAGAATACCGGTTGTGGTTTGGACTTTGTATTCATACATTTATAGGTAAAAAGCGAAATGCCATACTTCTTGAGAGTATCTCTTCCAACAAGGTTTTAAATAGTGTGAAAGATGTGAATTTTGTTTTGGTTGATGGAGGTTGAAAGTTTTGTTTGCCAGGCACCTGTGGCTCCCATTTGTAATCCTAGCTAGTAAGGGGCTAAGATCTGAGAATCAGCCCAAGTAGGACAGTTTATCAGACTCTTACCTTCAATTAACCAGCAAAAAAGTGGGAAGTAGGGGCTGGGAAGGTGGCTCAGTGGTAGAGCGCTTGCCTTGCATGCCTGAGGCCCTGGGTTCGATTCCTCAGCACCACATAAGCAAAAAGAAAAAAGCCGGAAGTGGCACTGTGGCTCAAGTGGTAGAGGGCTAGCCTTGAGCTGAAGAGCTGAGGGACAGCACCCAGGCCCAGAGTTCAGGCCCCACGACCGGACCCCAAAAAAAAAAAAAAAAAAAGTGGGAAGTAGAGGTGTGGCTCAAGTGGTAGAGTACCTGCATTAGTGGAAGAAGCTAAGGGATAGCACCCAGTTCCCAAGTTCAGGCTCTAGTATTGGCACATGCACAAAAGAAAGGATATATGTATTGCTCTTTGGTCTTGAACTCCTGACCTCAAAACTCAGCTTTCTTGCTCATAACTGGCCCTGTACCACTTTAGCCATGTCTCCAGCCCAAAATTTGGCCAGTTAGAGGTGGAGTCTCCCTGGCTTTTCTGCCTAGGCTAGCTTGGCAGATCTCATCCTCCTGAGTAGCTAGGATTATGGGCATTAGCCAGTTGTGCCCAACTTGAAAACTTTGTTTTGCCTTCAAACAGTAGTGTTTTGATAGAATGGTGCAACTGAACGCAGTTGGTCATTTCGTGAGTGCAAAGCACAACCAGAGGGTTGGATCTGGGTCTCTGGAGTTGTAGAGTGCCTGCTTAGTAAATGTGCGTCCCTGAGTTCAAACCCTCCTTCCATCAGAAAAACAAATCAAAAAAACAGTTTGGGAGCTGGCATGTTCCAGTGTGAGGTGTGCCTCAGTTTAAGGTGCACACTGAGGTCCTGACGCTCCACTTCATGGGCTATACCTCTGTCCCCACTTGTTTTGGAGATAGAGTCTAGCAAACTTGTTGGCTTTGGCTGGCCTTGATCTGTGATCCTCCAGATCTCAGCTTATAGGTGTGAGGCCTGGTTTGCCACTTAGGAACTGTGGTATCAAGTCTCTCTCTGAGACTCAGTTTCCACTGCTGTGAAAGCCATCAAACATTGAGTGTCTCATTGTGTGCCAGTTTCTGTTGTAATAATTGGGGGTTAGGTCTCTTGTATGGAGACCCTGACCCCTCCTCCATCCGGTGGAGATATGGAGTTGGGGAGCTGCCTACTGTGTGGGCAGAGAAGAGGAGGGTGCTGACCATGTCCCTTCTAGCCTGTACTCCTATGGGGTCATGATGCTGGAAAGACTGCACAACCCCATAGGGAATGGCAGTTAACATTACAAAATGCTGCTGCCAATTATATATGCTTTTTTTAGGAGGTCTTAGGGTTTGAACTCAGAACACCCTGCTTGTTCTGTCACTGACTCACCCACAGGTCCTTTTTGCTTAAGTCACTTTTGTGATGGGGTCTTGCTTTTTGCCTACGCTAGCCTGGAAATTCTTTCCAAACTAACATTTCAGTAAGTCTTCACTGTCTGTGGACTTCTTGAAACCAGCATGTCTGGCATCTGTAACACAAGGAAATCACCTGGGTTTTAAGGACATTGTAGGCATGGCTGCCTGTAGTGAAGTATGCACTGTAAGGAACCTAGAACAGCCATTGAATCCTAGCTACTTAAGGGCAAGTCAAGATGATGGAGTTATTCTTCTGTGTCACATTTGCTGTGAAGAAGTACTATATTTAGAATGCCATTTTTGGGTAATTTAATTAATATCCAGTTGAGTGTTGAAAGTACTATTGGAGATAATACAGTGAAACTGTCAACTTTGAATATTAACAATAGAACCTCCAAACGGAGGCTTGCTTTCCAGTTTTGAAGAGGGACAAGACCTAATAGAGGGAAATTGAAATGAAGGGTTTAATAAGTGATTAGCCACTGTTTTATTAAGATAAAGCTTTCTGAAGATTACAAAGTCCATTTTGAAGACCAACTAGTCTAATACATATAAACTAGATACACAGTATATTACCAGTGTTAGTGTTGTAACTTTTTCTGTTGAGGAAAACTCTGACATTCCTTTTAAGTCAGCTTTGGAAGTATTTTAAGTGGGGTATTTTAAGTCTCTGTAGTATAATGTGAGTGGGACTTCACCATCCTGAGTAACTTCATTTTTCTGTTTTTCAGTTTTGAGAAGAACATTTTCCCTACATAAGGCACAGTCAGTAGAGGATATGGAGAATTTCTTCCAGTTGGTGAGAAACATTGTACCAGCCCCAACTTTGAAGAAACACAAAGGGCAAGATGGGCGAATAGGCGTGGTTGGGGGCTGTCAAGAGTGAGTGTCACTTTAAAATGTTGATGTTTTTAAAAAGGCCATTTCTTACCTGTCTGCGTTTGCCTACCTGCTGTCTGTCCATCCATGCATCTTACCTATCATTTCTGAATGGATGCAGCAGGGCATGTGGCCTGTCTCAGAGATGAGCCATCTGATGGAGTAGCAGCTCTATGGAGCTCCAGATGACTTGTTCTCATCGTTGTACCTGAAAATCTGACGGGCATTCAGCTTGCTTTCACTTCTAATTCATGTCATCTTGCTTGAGCTTTCAAATTCCACATTTCACCAATTCATGCATGAATGTGTGGTTTTTGTTTTATTTGTCTGTTTTGTTGTTGGCTTTCCCAGTTCCTGTGAGCACTGTGTTCTGAGCCACATGCACTGGCATGTGGTAGGAGCTCAGCTCCCACCCTGCAGGGCAAGGAAGCAGCTGGGCCTGGCTATTGGCACGAGCCGTTTTTTGGTGTGATTCTGCAAAGGCCCCTCGTTTGTGTGTGCTAGGGTGCAAGCAGGGATGTGGTCTGTCAGCCCTTTGCTTGGGACACTTCGGAGTCACATGTGGACGCAGAGCAGCTCTTTGTTCTGTGTGCTTGGCATTTGTCTCCTGCTGCAGGTGGGCTCAGTTTTCGGGTGTTCACCTGATGGAAAAGGCAAGGGTCCTCCTTCTGTGCCAGAAGAGGTGCCCAGCACAGCCCCTTGGTGCTCCCACTCCCGCAATGGCACCAAGGGCGCTGCTGCAGAGGCCCACTGTGCACAGGTGGGGCGCTCCTGGGGGGGGGGGGGGGGGACATGGCACTCAGTGGTCATGATGACTTTGCTATTAGTCCTGGAGAATGCTTTCTTCTGCTCTAGATCCCTGATCCCCCAACTACCTGGACTCGCTCTCTGGCAGAAGCCTCTCCTGCCAGTGCTGCTTTGTCCTGCCTGGTGTAGAGGCATGGGCACCCATGCCAACCATGGAAAACAGCAGCAGTGGGGAGAAAGAGGCTTTTCTAGTTCTCTCCTGTGTTGAACATCCATACTGTAACCTCGTGTCTGTCTATGATTCTTACCTGTTAGCGTGGTATTTTTATCTGCCTTTTATTGATAGCTTGTTCACGTGGTATTTTTATCTGCCTTTTATTGATAGCTTGTTGTTGACTGCCTGCCTTGCTCAGAAGTTCTGACTCTAATATCTTTTTAGGTACACAGGAGCCCCATATTTTGCAGCAATCTCAGCTCTCAAGGTGGTAAGTTTGCCCCAAACCCCTTGGTGGAGTGTTTCTGCTAAAGAGTGAGTTATCCAGGGCTGGGAATGTGGCTTAGTGGTAGAGCGCTTGTGTAGCATGCATGAAGCCCCAGGTTCAATTCCACAGTACCACATAAACAGAAAAAATCTTGAAGTGGTGCTATGGCTCAAATGGTATAGCACTAACCTTGAGCCAAAAGAAGCTCAGAGGAGGGGCAGGGGGAGTAGATGAGGAGGTGGGAGGGAAGGGATGGTAGGGGAAAAACAAAGGAGGAGGCGATAATGCACGATAGGAAATGTACTCATTACCTTGCTCATGTAACTGTAACCTCTCTGTACAGTATTTTTACAATAAAAAAAATACAAAAAAATGAAAAAAGAAGCTCAGGCCCTGAGTACAAGCCCCATGACAAGCAAAAAAAAAAAAAAAGTGGGTTCTTCAAGTATGTTCTGGTAGAAATCTGAATAATAGGATAATCATGGGTGATAGAAACACCTGTATATCTATTCTGGCAATAAAGTAACATGAATTACAGTCTCCCTTTAAAAAAAAATAAATGCTTTGTTCATATTATTCTTCACCAGAGTAATGCTAGGATACCTCACATCTGCCAACTAGTGCTTTGGAACTGATGTTTTTCCCACAGACTTGATCCAGTCCCAGTGCCCCTGTCTAGTGGATGATGTACAGGGGCTGGGCTGGGTGGCTCTGAACTTGCACGTGAGGGCATTGTAGAAGTCTGCCTTTGTCCCCAGCATTTTGTTTTTTGTTTTTGTTTTTTTTGTTTGTTTTTTTGGTTGGTTGTGGGGCTTGAACTCAAGGCCTGGGCGCTGTTCCTGAGCCACTTTGTGTTCAAGGCTAACACCCAACCACTTGAACCACAGAGCTACTTGCAGTTTTTGAGTGGTTAATTGAAGATAAAAGTCTCACAGGGACTTTCCTGCCCAGGCTGGCTTCGAACCGTTATCCTCAGATCTCAGGCTCCTGAGTAGCTAGCATTATAGTCGAGAGCCACTGGTGCCTGGCCCCAGCATTTTCTTATGCCACTTTTTCCAAGGCCTCCTGGCTATTGTACGACTGGTTTGTGTTGTTCCTGTGGCATGAGTGCTGAGAGACTGGAATGGTTGGACTTCATCTGTCAGATGCTCAGCTCGCCCCTGCTGCCCATAGGTCCTGCTCAGCACACCCTGCTCTAAGTGGACATCTTGCCTTGTTCCTCAGGGTGCAGACTTGTCCCATGTGTTCTGTGCCAGGGAGGCTGCGCCTGTGATCAAGTCCTACAGCCCGGAGCTGATCGTTCACCCAGTCCTGTGAGTGGGCCTGTGTGTCCTTCCTCCACCAGCAGCTGTCCAAGGCTGGCCCTCAGTGCTTCTGCCCCCAGGTGGAGAGTGGCGAGCCACTGTGCTCAGAGTTTGTAGCCGGTGCTACCTGGAGTAAGACTACTGTAGTGAAACGACCTGGTAGCGTGCACCTTATAGTTCCAGCTACTTGAGAGGGAGAGGTGGGGGTGGAGGACTGCAAGTTCAAAGCCAGCCTGAACAACTTAAGACCTCTGTTAACAATGAAAGGTGAGTCCTGGGGCACCTGTGGTGGCTGATGCCGTAGCTGCGGGCACAGCGCCCTTGCCTAGCAGAAGTGACTGGGGATCTAGGGGAAGTCTGAGCCTGTGTGGGCAGGACTGCTGTGGTAGAAAGAGGATTGGGGGGCAGTGAAGCCTCTTGCAGTCAGCACCTGATGTGGGTCCCCCTGAACAGGTGTAATCTGTGCTGCTTTGACAATGTAAAATGCTCTCTGCTGCCTGGCTCTGTGCCACTGATGGCTGCAGTGTGCAAAAGCAGAATCCTTCCTTTAACCGTGCTGACATGCGGGTCCCATTGAACTGGGAAGTCTCACTGCACTGGGAAGGCTACTCTGACACTGACACATCACAGGTGAGCAAAGGCCTGGATCAGGGACTCGGTGGCTGCACCTGACGTTCCTGTGGTGCCCACAGGCCCTGGGGAGTAGGCCTTGTCACACAGCCCCAGTGGAGGCTGTGCCAGTGTCTGTAGCACAAGAGTCCTGGGGCTCAGGGTTGTCTGAGCAGCTCAGCGGGAGGGCAGGACCCAGTTTATGACAAGGTGCTCCTGGGCTTCATTGGGAGCCCTGGGGCTGGGTGGTGGCTGCTGTAAGGTCCTGCCACAGGTATGAAGTATATACACTCAGAGTGGAGAAGGGACTGACTCTGGGGGTTTGGGGAGAGTACAGCCCCCAGGCCTGGCTAGCAGGCTGGACCCAAGGCATGAGCCTCAGATGAGACCAAGAGTGTGTTAGCCTGAGCTGGCTGTGTGTTCACCTGGGGGACATGTGGCAGACGTTGGACCTGTGTGTTTTGGTTACCTACAGGACATCCTAGTGGACGTGACTAGAAGGCGCGGGCAGGAGTGGGGTGGGCGGGGACAGCTTTGTGCTGACTGGTTCGCACAGGGCCAGGTGTATACCAGGAGGTGAGGACGAGGTGAAGGAGCAGCATCTGCAGAGGGGGCTTGGTTCGGAGAAGAGGGGTGGGAGTGGAACACAGCAGGAGCACATCAACATAGATACATATAGATGGTTCTCGTGGGGCCAGGCCAGGTCTCTTGAGGGTCAGCTTGGGAGGGCTAGGAATGAGGGTCGAGTGCCAGTGTGAGCCCCTGTGGGGACAGGCTCCGCTCTCACAGCTGGACCCAGTGCAGGAAGGTGTGGACTAGTGATGGCAGGCCCCGTCCGTGGGGTGACAGCAGCTCTAGGGCGGGGCTTGGGACGTCTCTGGGCCAGTCTGTGGGTGTGTGAGATGCTCCCAGACGCTCCTGTGTATCCACACAGATGCCACAGTGGCCAGTGATAGAGGAGCAGGTAATTCTGCAATTAGTCTCAGTGATGTATTCTTTGATTTGTTTTGTTTTTGCCGTTCCTGGGGCTTGAACTCAGGGCCTGGTCGCTGTCCCTGAGCCACTTTTTGCTCAAGGCTAGTATTCTACCACTTGAGCTGCAGCACCCCGTCCAGCTTTCTATAAGTAAGAAGAGCCGGGCGCTGGTGGCTCACGCCTGTAATCCTAGCTCCTCAGGAGGCTGAGATCTGAGGATCGCGGTTCAAAGCCAGCCCGGGCAAGAGAGACCGTGAGACTCCTATCTCCAATAAACCACCAGAAAACCGGAAGTGGCGCTGTAGCTCAAGTGGTAGAGCGCTCACCTTGAGCTGAAGAGCTGAAGGACAGCGCCCAAGCCCAGAGTTCAAGCCCCACGACCGACAAAAAAAAAGAAAAGAAAGAAAAGAAAAGTAAGAAGAGTCTCATGGACTTTCCTGCCCGGGCTGGCTTCAAACCGCAATCCTCAGATCTCAGCTTTTTGAGTAGCTAGGATCACAGACATGAGCCACTGGCACCAGATCTTAATGACGTATTCTAACTTGTTCTGTTTATGTTTGTTAAGACAAGAGCTCAGTGGCTGGGCTGACCTGGAACTCTCCATCCTGCTGCCTTCGCCCTCAGGTGCCAGGTTGCCAGCTCTCCTCCACACCTGGCTACCACTTATTTTAAATGCAGGAAGCTAGGCCTCTAAGCTCCGGTTTCAGCCTAAGCCAGGCTGTGGGGCGGGAGGAGGGATGAAGATGGAACACAGCATGGGGTCTGCAGGGTTGAGCAGAGACAGGACACGGGTGGGGTGATGGGATGTGTGGGTTACGGGAGTGGAGCCAGTGCTTACTCCTTACTGGTATAATCTGGAGTGGGGGTGGGTAGGGGGTTGATGCCAGGGCTACCCGCCCTACTTACACATCTTCTGTAAAGCTAAATTACACTTTCAAAATCAAGTGGTTTAGGACTGGAATCTAGCTCACAGGGCGAGCACTTGCCCAGCTGTTACCAGACCCTGGTTCTATGCCTGGTTCCAGTACTCCAAAAGAGAGAGGTAAGCACACATTGTGATTAATTTTAGTTTTCTGTTCCTCCTCAGGGACAGTCTGAGTGCGGTTGAGGAGGTGCAGAAGTGGCTTCCCAGGCTGCACGTCCTCATCGTGGGGCCTGGCCTCGGCAGAGATGACCAGCTGCTCAGTAACGTCAGGGTGAGTCAAGTCATTATGAGTGCACGCTTCTGTTCCGTTTTTCCCAGGGCCTCCTTAGAGCCTTGCAGGTGGATAAGCAAGGCTGTGGAGGTCAGCGATTGAACAGAGTGGACTGAGCTTAGAATCAGGCTCCAGAATAACTGGCTCAACCATGCGAACACACCAAGTGCCTGGGTGGTTGGGTGATTGGAAGGTGGAAGTCAGGGCTCGCAGTGCTTTTAGCTGGGTGTAAGTTCACACTTCAGCATTCCCGAAAGGCTTCCTTCTGGCTGGCCTGGTACCCGCTTGACCATCAGTTAACCCTAAGTCAATTCCGCCAAGACCCACGCTTTTCAATGAGCCTTGGGATCGCCTGTAGCCTTGCAGAGAGGCAGCTGGGGTTTGGGTAGTGATGATGTTGACTCTGTAAATGAATGTGGACGGGGTGCTGCCTTAATATTACGCCTTCCATGTGTGATTGTCTGACCTTGTGACGTGACATCCTGTCTTCACATCGGTGCCTGGCCCCACACCGTCAGTGCCTCGTGTCCCAGCCTCACGCCATTGGTGCTCTTATGTAGCTTGTCTATGGCTTCTAGAGACTTCCCTGGTGGGATGCTCAACTTTCCTGATTTTCAGTTTTTAATGGCAGAAGCTAATTTATCATATCCTGTGTATTTGCTCTGATATTTTATTTTGTCTTTTAGTGTTTTTGTGAGTTGATTTTTTTGTTGTTATTTTGAGTAGATGCCTGCACATAACCCAGGCTGGTCTTTGCTTTGATCTTCCTGCCTCAGTCTCCTGAATGTTGGGATTAATATCACGTTTTTGATATTTTCAGTAGTTTTCCTCTTTGTGTGTCTTGAGTAGATGCACACACACTCTTGGGCATTTTCTGTGGATAAGTCTCTAGACACTCTACAGTGGAATCAGGATTCATGTGCCCCTCCCCTCAAGCTGCTGTTCCAGGCTGGCACCTTCGCTCTCCCTGTGGCAGGACACCCTCACAAGGCTCAGTTTTCGCATTTTCTAGGAGTCTAACAATTAGGCTGTGCCAGGGCTCATGCATCCAGTGCTTGAGTGTCTGCCTTGGATGGCTGCTCTGTCTGCTCTATTAGAAAATCTAGAAGAGACAGAGATGTCAGAGACTGAAATTGACCTAAAAATCTGTAAAAAGCACAATCCTTTTAGAGAAAAATGGTCCACCAACTTTTTATTATTATTGTGGTGCCTCATCATCTTAAGATGTGTAAATAAAGTGCTATGAAACTTTCACAATAGTGACTGGACTCGAGAGGACACTTCTGGTCTCTGCTATTGGAAGTGAGTGTGTGTCTGGCGTCTGGAGGTGGATACGTGGAGTGCTGTGTGTGGAGCTGCTGTGGGTCTCTGATGGTCGGTGCTCTCCTTCCTGGCAGGGCATTGTGGAGGCCTCCAAGGCCAGGGACATCCCCCTCGTCATCGACGCAGTGAGTGCAGCCTCTCCTCCATCCCCACAGCAAGCGTAGGGGCTGGGCCATCCACTGAGTCTCCCCTACTCCCCCAGGACGGCCTATGGCTGATCGCACAGCAGCCAGCCCTCATCCAGGGCTACCAGAAAGCCATTCTCACGCCCAACAAAATGGAGTTCAGTCGACTCTGGGAAGCTGTGGTAAGTTAGGGTGACTCAGGGAAGATGGTGCACGTGCTTGGCCTCAGCTGAAGGACAGGTTCTGTGGTTCTGCCCAACTCAGCCCTGCAGGTCACAGATGGATGCGCATGTGCCTGTGATTGCATGAGCGTAGGACAGAAAAGCTCCTGGGCCCAGCAGCCCTATGCAGGACACTGCAGCCAGGCATCTCCCTGTCCTGTGCTGGCCACTGCCTCTGCTCAGTGTGAAGCCATCCATGAAGCCACGGGGACTCATGTAGCAGGGGTCCCATGAGTGCCAGCTTATCATTAGTCAGGTTGCTGCTACTTATGCAAGCCTAGTCTGATGGGAGAGTGATCTCTGTTGTCGGCTAGACCTGCTTTACAGATAGCCTGGGCTCGCAGGGCTGTTCCTGCTGCGTGGGATCTTACTGTGTGTCTAGGAGGGCTTGCTTGTTCTTGCTTGTTATCATCCATTGTAGATCGGGGGTCCTGTAGATGACAGAGATCACCGTGGGTCTGTCCTGCGGCTCAGCCAGGCTCTGGGGAACGTGACTGTGGTTCAGAAAGGCGAGCAGGACCTGATATCCAATGGCCAACAGGGTGAGTGGACTTCCCTGTGTGGTGGTCTACACACTCCAGGTGGAACTCTCACGTGTTCACACATGGATAGCTTCTCAGCAGTCCTTGTTCAGCACAGAGGTGCCATGGCAGGAGACAGCACTTCCCATCCTTGGCTGCTGGGCCAGTGCCTTGGGCATGCCGCTTTGGTGACCTTCGTAAATGATGGGTAGGAAGCAGGTATGGCCACAGCTGGGGGAGCCCAGGACAGCTCCCCCGCCTGACACCTGGCCATCCACAAATCGCTTGAGTCTTTTCCTACATTTTGTTCTATTTTGTAAAACTGGCTAAAGTGTAAGTGAGCTGCTGTGTCTTTGGGGCCTGTGGGTTATCCAATGGGGCCCAGAGCACCGGTGCTGCAGGAATCAGCCTGGGTGTGGGGTCCTGTTGACTCATTCTGTACACAGCAGCGTGGCATGGTATGTGTGGGAATGGTAGACAAGGTGTGTGACTAGGAACCTCACATTCAGAGGAGAGCAGGAAGGCACATGGGCATGTGCACATCTGCACACACAGCCCTAGGTAGGAAGCAGGTTCCTGAGGTGAGGTTCTTACAACATAGGACTGTCCAAGACTAACCCAGACAACAGATAGAACATTGTACCTTGAGCTCGATTGTGGGCAAAATTACACTACCTAGTAATGGAGGCAACTGTGTGTGGTGCAGCCTGATGTCAGGGGTAGTGTTCCAGGCACGCGTGGAGGTGTGGGGGCTGCAGGCAGACTGGGGCTCTGGACTGGAGCTGATGAACAGCCTGTGTCCTGACTTGGCTGCTCCCCCCAGAGCTCCTCTCCCCGGCCACCCCCACCCCAACCCCAGCCTGAAGGCCTCCTGTGAGCCGGGAGGCGTGCTCATGTGTGCTCTGTTCTCTGCAGTGCTCGCGTGCAGCCAGGAAGGCAGTAGCCGCAGGTGCGGGGGCCAAGGCGACCTCCTGTCCGGCTCCCTGGGGCCCATGGTGCACTGGGCCCTCCTGGCCGGACCCGAGAAGACAAATGGGTATGGAAACCTCTTCGTCTCCCTGCTCTGAAACCACTTAGTTGTGCTGCTCTCCCTGCAGCTCTGCTGCCGAGTCCTGAAACATGCCAGATGAGCTGGCGCTGCTACAAGGGACACTGGGCAAGGCTTAACCTTTCTCCAGAAGCTTCCACATCTGCCAGTTTCTGCAGATGTGACCAGGCACCATTGACTTCCCAGCTCCGGCCGATCTTAAGGGCAGCCACGGTGCAGGACACTGGTAGGGAGGCCTGTAAGGCTGAGGACCCAGCACAGAGGCTGGGGCAGCCGGCCTGCACTGCAGTCCTTCTAGATCTGCTTTTCTCCCATTTCATTTTGTCTTGTTGCTTTTATTTTTATTTAATTTAAAATCTTTGAGACTGGTCTTTGTAGCCCATGCTGGCCTCAAATGCACCTTCCTCGTCTCAGACTCTTCAAGGCTGGGATTAAGAGGCAGCAAAATTCTAAAATGACAGGCAGTCCCCATCTCTCTCAGGTTTGAACTCATGGCCTATACTTCCTAGACAGGTGTCTGCTGGCCAGTCCAGCTTCTTGGCCACGCATTGTGTAGGATGCGCTTCTGGGCCTCACCTGCCACTTGGTGCAACATGGCTCGGACGGTAATGTCCACACGGGCCAGCCTGGGTGCTTGTGTGGATCTGCAGGCTGGGGCTCAGGTCAGCTCCTACCTGCCCCACCTGGTGCTGTGGGCACAGCATCCTCACAGCAGCATGGCACGTCCAAGAGAGCTATGGAGCAGCCTTGAAGCTTCCCTAGTACTCACTGGGAACCTGCTATCTTGCGCATGTGCATGTGTGTACGTACATCTACGCCCACACGCGTGCTGGAAAGAACCAGGTCCTCGTGTGTGCTAGGCAGACTACACTGAGCCAGGCTCTCCTGGAGCGGAAGGCGTGCACAGGGACTTGAGATCAGATCGCTCGTACTGGTTTGGGCTGGTACAGTTGCCTTCTCCTCAGAGGCATGGCAGACTCACAGCCAGTTTGGGGGGCCTACTCCCCTTTCCCTGACTTGCCTCTCCCCTCCAGCTCCAGCCCGCTCCTGGTGGCCGCTTGGGGGGCATGCACTCTCACAAGGCAGTGCAATCACCAGGCCTTCCAGAAGCATGGCCGGTCCACCACCACCACCGACATGATCTCCGAGGTGGGAGCCGCCTTCAGCAAGCTCTTTGAGACCTAAGGTCAGGTTACATTTGTGACCGCGTACTGGGACACAGGCCGGGGCACAGGCTCCCCATGAGGGCCTGAACCCTGGCTTCACTGACTGATACCGAGATTGGGAAATCTGACAGCTGTTGTTGCCTAAACTGAAATATATTTGGAGATGTTATAACTCTAAGCAGTCTCCCTCACTTGCTTAGCTTCTCAGCAGTAGCTAGCAAGGAGGGCGGAGAGGATCTATGAGAAGGAAACCCAACAGCACAGCTTCTATCTGTCCTCATGACCACACTTGGCTCCTAGAGATCTCTGTTCAAATGTCTGCTTACCCAAGGCTGCCCGGGGGCTTGGTTTGATTTATGAAGTAAGTGGGTGTTGGTGGGGTTTCATTTAGAATTCATGGGAGAGAGGCACACCTGGAAATCTGGAGCCGTCTAGAAGACTGGAGACTAGGGTGCTGCTGACACTTGGGGTGGTGGGGAGTGCAGGACAGTCCCCATCTGGGCCAGAGGCCTATGAGCCGACGTCCACCCTACAGCCAGGACCTGGGGAGTGTGTGGGGGGAGCTGTGCTTCTGATGCAGCCCCTGGTGCCATCCAGGGAAGAAGCGGCAGGTGTGTGGGAGACTTGAGCCTGGATGGGGAAAGGGCCAGACTTTGTTGTCTCCAGGAAGGCGCAGCCCACTTGAGATGGGCAGCTCTGAATTCCAGTGGACATGGTGGCCTCCTCTTACCTTTGTTTGTGGTAGAGACAGAGTAGCTGACAAGGACTTTCTGGTCTCTGACACTCAGTGCTGCTCCAGATAGCTAGCATGTCTTTAAAACCAGTCAGCTTGTCAGGTTTTCATACAGATTTGCTGTTACTTCACGTCTAATTTAGAAGTTTGGTTCCGCATGTGCACCATCTTCTGGATGTGCCCTGAATGTCTTTGCTCTGGAGGGTTACGTGTAAAGCCTGGGACTGACAAGGCGAGAGGACCAGACATGGCTGCACCCTCAGCACTGGGACACTGAAGGACAAGGATTGCAGTTTAAGGGTAGCCTGGGCTATGTCAACCCCATCTGAGCAATAATAAAGATTGGCGATTGGAGACTGATGATGGTCAGTTTGCTTGGTATGTGTAAAGGCTCTTGGTTTCTGTCACCAACACTACAAAAAACAAATATTTTGAGAAGATACTCAGAGAATTTGTGGTTTTCCTAAGATGTCAGGTGTTGGAGCCAAAACCACAGTGCCTGTTGTCAGTGCAGTGTTTTGGCAGTTTTGTTCTGACAAGCATCAAACTTCCCTTAGAGAGATAGCATGAGCCCCGGCAGTTTGGCTCTGTTTACTGTAGCTTAGCCTTCACACTAATCTCTTTGAGCTCATGGATACCGAGGAGCTGCAGCCTGGGCATGTTCCTGCACCCAGGACAAGCCTGGAGGCACACTTAGGTCTGGTGAATAGGCCCCACGGGACGTCTCCTGCCTTTCACTGCATGCTCTGTTCAGCTATCTCAAAGGTGTACTTGGGGAGCCTTCCCTGTCACAGTCCAACAGGTGGACAGTTCTTGAGCCCAGGCCCTTCCCTGTCCGGCAGCACGCAGGTGCCTCTGGGCCATGAAGGTTGGCAGGCAGCAGTAATCCAGGCTATAAGCACCACCCTCCAGAGATGCAGGCGGGCGGGAAGGGACAGAAAAAGCTGGCTGCCTGGGTCTGCCAGCCGGGGGAGCTAGAAGGCCATCGTGGTTCCCCATTCCTTCATCACCTTGTGCTGGCTGGGTCTGAGCCAGCATGCTGCCAGGGCGGCAGCCTGGGCCATGAAAGCAGGCAGGGCAGTCACCACACTTGGCATAGTAGGGCCACAGCTGTGCCCAGGTCCATCTCCCTTGGCTTCAGACCCCATGGTGCCTAACCCAGGATGTATGAAGTCTGGCTGCTAGTACTCCCAGGTTCATTTTCAGGCCCTTGTGGAAAGATAGCAGTGAGTCAGGACTGGTTCGCTGTAAGGATGGCTGAATAGCCACAAGTGGAAACTTTAATATAAAGTTTTCATCTCAAGAAAAAGCCATAGAGTGAGAGGGTGGGGCTTGGCTCAGCTCCCTGGTTTCTGGTGTTTGATCCTGGGATCCAGCAATTCCCATGTGGTGGCTGCACTGCCCCTGTCCTGCAGAAAAGAAGCAAAGATCCTGCTGGATCCCATCTCCTCATCCACAGGCAGAGGAGCAGGGTGGTCTGGAGCACAGCTGGGTGCTGGGGAGTAGGAGGGGAGTAGGGATAGGAGGCCCTTCTGGTCCTAGCACACCTTACCAGTTGGGTGTGTTGTTAGGATGGTTTCTCCATGGAAGGCAGCAGCACCTGGCCGGTGAGATCTGCCTCACCCGCCTTGCGGTACGCCAGCCCCCAGCTGGTGGCAGCACAGCCCTCACCTTAATGTTGATGCCATGGGCAGCCAGGTTCTGGCGCAGAGAGTCGCATGCATCCAGCAGAGGGCGTCTCTCCTGTAGCCGCTGCTGTCGGGCCTCCCCAGTGGCCTCAGGTGTGGCCAGCGCAAACTGCCTGACCTTCAGCCGGAAGCGCACCAGCTCGTCCACCGTGCTGTGCAGTGTGGCCATGCTGCTGTCCCCTGAAACACACTGGTTGCACACCACACCTCAGCACAGGCCGGGCCTGCCAGAGCCAGGAGGGCTATATTCTCCCAGGTTCTGGGCTGCAACCTGTCCAGCCCCATGAGAGAGAGGGAGGGAGGGAGAGAATGCATGCGCTGCTCCTGGAACTTGAACTCAGGGCCTCAAGACTGGTACTCTACCAGAGGAGCCACAAATCTACTTCCAGCATTTTGGCGATAGCCTCATGGGCTTTCCTGCCTGGGCTGGCTTTGAACCTCAATTCTCAGATCTCAATCCTCTATCTGGGACTACAGGTGTAAGCCACCAGCACCCAGCCCAGCCCGTCTTTTCCATCCCCTAAAGCTCATTCTTCCTGGGACCTCATGTGGCTGGGTGAAGCTGGCTGGTGTCAGATATTGACAAGTCTCCATTCTCCTCAGAGCCAAGCTGACAGCACCCTCTGAGAAGCCAAGAGGAAGGCTGTGCGCAAGCCCTCCCCCCAGATCCAGACACACCCAAGGCTTAAAGCTACTCTTTTGTCATCTGAGGGGTCTCGAAGCCTCAGCTACAAGCATGAATGAACACAAACTAAACATTTGGGACAAAATAGGTGCCAATGCCTTGCCCTGCTGTGTGTCAACCCAGTAGTCTGACAATGAGCCCAAACTGCAGTTCTGTCCTGAAGCCGGCAGGGACGAGAGGTCGGCATAAACAGGCTCGGCTGCAGGGGAGGTTCTGGCTGAGCTCAGAAGGGTACTGCGTGGCTGAATTAGGCCTCTCCCGTGAATTCAAGAAAAGTGAGTACATGCAAAATGTTCTGAAAGTGGCTCTGGGCCCTCCCCTCTTTACCAGGGTAAATCTGGAGGCTGAAGCAGAGTGAGGTTGGGGAGAAGGGAGGGGGATTGCACTTGGGCCTCAGAGCCTACAAGGTGATCTCCAGAGGAGCAGCAGGGCAACTGCCCAGGGCAGGCTGTGACCCGGAGCCCAGCAGGGGGTGTGCACAGGGCAGATGCTGCCTGCAGCGCACAGCAGTGGAGGCCAGGACAGAGGGGATGGGTAGATCCTGCGGAGTCCAGGAGGGACGGGACGGGTAGACCCTGGAGTTAGAGCTGAAGTGTCAGTAGTGTTGCTAGGTTTCAGATGGGTAAAGTGTTGATGTTGACGCTTGTGCGCCTCAGCTCCACACACTGAGCCATGTTGCCTGCTCACTTGTACTTGATTAGTACATCTGAATACTTTTTTGGTACTGGAAAGAACCAGCCTCCTAAGGCAGGTGCCAGTGACTCAGGCTTGTGATTCTCAGGAGGCTGAAATAAAGAGGATTACAATTCAAAGCCGGCTAGGGCAGAAAAAGTCCATGAGATTCTTAACACCAATTAACCACCAAAGAGCTGAAAAGTGGAGCTGTGGCTAAAGTGGTAGAGCACTGGCCTTGAGAGAAAAAGCTAAGGGACAGTATGCTGGCCCTGAGTTTAAGACCCAGGATGGCACCAAAAAAGAACCAGCCTCTTGAGAAGTGGCCAGCAGACCTAAGTAACCACAGGAATCCCCAAGGACATCCAGGGGATGATAGAGCATGCCAGGACCCAGCCAGGGGCCAGCAGCCAGTGATCACAATGATGGAGGTAGACTGAACCTGCTAGACAGTGGGAGACCAGCTCTGCTGATACAGGTGCGAGGCCAAAATGGAAGTGGACGACTGGGCTGGTGTCACATGACAAAGGCACTCCCCACTGGGGAGGGAGGGACAGGATCATGGGGGACCTTGGCAGCCTCAACCTAAACACGTGGCTAGGTGAGCACTGCGAGGAAGGGGCCGATGGGAGCTGACGGGACAAGCTGGGCTCTGCCTACGAGGGGTTCATGCAGAATGTCAGTTGATGGGGTGGTTGCGACGAGTGCTAATTTTTTGAGGACGTTCATGTTTTTGGCATGTCAGCGGGACAGGCACCCCATCCCAAGGTGAATGTACTGTAAAGGCGGATCCAGGGGATCCCTGCCGAACTCACCCTGGGGAGGACGCACCTGTCGCTGGCCCAGCGAGATCCCAGCCATCTCAAAAAACTGCTCAACGAAAGAGACGATGGCGCCAAACACCGCCGGGCTCCTGGGGCCTCCGGGTTCCTAGAAAAGAGCAACATGGAGCAGAGTGGCCGAAGGACCGCGCATGTGCAAAGGAGACACCCAGGGCATGGAGAGCACGGTGGCCACTTCTGCTCTGGAGCCGGCCGGCTGAGGCCATGAGTTCCCACCTGCATGGCCAGCCTCACAGGCAAACCACACCATCCCCGTGCCTCAGTTTTACCCATTTGCCATATAGGAATGGTGATGCACTGCTCATGCCCCAGGGGCCTGTGGGTTAAGCATGGCGCAGGATACAGTGGTGGAATTCTGGGTCAGAATGAAAAGGAAGCAAGTCCCATGGCAGGCATCAGTGATCTGGCACAGAGGGGCCATGGGAGGTGAGTCTGGGATGGCAGAGGCTTCAGGGGAAACTGCACAGGTCAGGCTCTTCACTCAACACCTGAACTGTTCACACTCCCTGCGCTGCATAAGGTGCCCACTGGGACAAGGGGGAGCCTGGTGGTGCAGGACTCGGGGTGAAAGCCAGCAGCCCAGAGAAAACGGCTATTCCAGAACAATCTTGTTCTGGAAAAATCCTGTAACTGCCCCCACACACAAGACTGACAGGTCCTGTTCCAGAACATTCCTGGAGCTGCCTTCTGCCAGCACAGTATTCCACCGCTGTGTGCACTCCGTGTTTACTCCTAGGAAGTAGGCCCTCAGTATCCTATGAGGCCCTGTCACAGCCAGCCATGGGAGACTCAGAGCCTGGTTCTCCCCTGGGTGGAACCCTGACCTGCCAGGCGTGGGCTGTGAGGACCACACATCCCTCACTACCTTAGTGACCACCCTGAGCTGCCGGTTCCCATGGTGCACAAGGTCCAGGATGGCGTCAACTGCCCGGGATGTGTCGAAGTCATCGGCCAGCGCGGCCTTCACAGCGCTCTTGCTGCTGGTGAGCCTGAGGAAAGATAGTTACTAGGTTGGCAAGGCTCAGCCTGGCACTCCTTCCTAACCCGTGCCCACATTCCTAACCATCACCTGTGTCACCATCAGCTCTAAGTTACCCCATTAGCCAAATCAGAAATCCGTCCACTGATTATCATGGCAGCTTGGAGACTCAATGGTGCTAAGTGAGATTGCTATGATTACATGCTTCAAACATTGCCCAGTGAGGAGAGAGTTTGGGAAAGCTGGTGGCTTTTTTGCCCCGCAAAAGCTAGAGGCTCGGGGCTGGGAAGGTGGCTCAGTGGTAGAGCGCTTGCCTTGCATGCCTGAGGCCCTGGGTTCGATTCCCCAGCACCACATAAGCAAAAAGAAAAAAGCTGGAATTGGCGCTGTGGCTCAAGTGGTACAGTGCTAGCCTTGAGCTGAAGAGCTGAGGGACAGTGCCCAGGCCCAGAGTTCAGGTCCCACGACCAGACCCCCCAAAAAAGCTAGAGGCTC